ACCTGTTGTTTGCCTCTATTCTAGTCTCTTTACTGTACTTAGACTTGGATTCCTTCTTTTTAAACTGTACCAGGTTTTTGATTCAGTTCAATTCAGTTTAATATGTATAGCCCAAAATAACAAGTCACCTCAAAGTGCTTTCTATTGTAAGGTCAAGACCTCACAATAATAGAGAGAAACCCCCAATATTCAGATGATCCCCTATGAGCAAGCACTTGGCGACAGTGGGAAGGAAAAACTCCCTTTTAACAGGAAGAAACCTCCAGCAGAATCTGAGCGAGGGGCAGTCATCTTTTGATGTGTATCAGTCAGAATGATTACTTTCTTTGTCGCCCCTAATTAAAAGTACTTTTAAGGGGAAAAATATATGCTGATAGCACTCTGTTAGAGTTAACAGTAATGACCTCGCCGAGCTAAAACCTAGCCTTTACCTCATGCTATGAGAATATGTAACATGTATGACCTCTTAACACGAACCAGGCTCCTAAAACTAGGCTTGTTTACCATGTCGCCAATATGCAACACAACCGTACCCCTAATCCTAAGGCCTTGATTGTACTTTCTGTGTCCACAAGTACGCTAGGATCAAATCGGGTATGAGTGACATGAGTTTCATTATAAGACAGTGAACACAATGGTCCACATGAATGCAGAGTTTTTGTGACCGCAACGACTCTTGCACATGTGCTCCATGTCTAGCTGTTCGCAGTGTTAAGTGGCTAATCCTCTGAGATCTAAGGCATTATTAATGATAATCCTAACCTTATGCTAACTCTGTACTTTTAACCCTTGTGTGGTGTTTGTATTTTTGTTACTCAGCCGGTGTTCATGGGTCTGGTGGACCCGGTAGAGTTTTGGCTTTCCAATTAACACTATCAAACAATTTTATGTTAAATTACTCAACAGATGTTTACTTCATCCCAATTACGAGCCATGTGAACAGCAAACATGGTTACTTTTTTCCCTTTACCTTTGTTCGATCACATTTATGAATTAATGTGCTTCTCGTTTTTTTTAATAAAATGTTATAAAAAAAAATAAAATCAGTTATAATCAAGTGTAAATATCTTTATACCATATTTTGCAGGTTTTGATGGTCTATACTGCCTAAAGGGGCAGCGGCCTCTAAATGGCATGGGTCTCACAGACCCGAACACCATACAAGGGTTAAGAAAGAAAAATGTCGATTTTTAGTGTTTATCAGGTAGAAAGATTCTTTTCTTTGTTTTGGGTTCAGGTTGGGATCATCATTCGAACTGAGAGAGTTAACATCAATATAGAACTGAGGCTCACAAACAAAATAATTATGCAAAAGAACATTTGTCATTTATTTTTTTCATATATGTTATAACAATATTATGCTATATACTACATATATTTCTATTTCTATTTCTACATTGAACACAAGCTACTAAGGAATGCGTACAGTACAGTCAGCAACATAGAAAAATATTATAGTAGTATTGGCACAGATGAAGTAGTATTTGTTTTATACTTTACATGTTGTACATTCAGCAAAAGAAATGCAGAATGAAATAAATTAATGATTCTTTGAGGGACATGAAACATTTTTTATAATCAAACAAATGGAGGGTCCAAAATAACAGGGACAGTGAAGACAGATGAGCTTTCACAGACATATAACACAGTTTCCATACACACCTCCATGTGCTACACATAAACAAGGCTCTCTAAAAAGTCAGATACAAAATGGTTCAAGTCAGTCAAGTGTTGGGTTTATAGAATTTACTCAACAACATAAATGTACAGTTAACAGCCAATAAATATTTGGTAAAAAAAAAAAAGAGCTAAGAGTGATGTAAATACAATTCTTTCTGATGAAACCTTCAAATGAAACCTTTTGCACGACAGCCATCCATCTCATAAAGCAATTTCATACCTCTGTTTGCCCTTGAAGGGGTCAATCTCAATACCTCTCCATCACTTTTTCCCTCCATTGATTCCTGCCGACTCCTTTGAGTAAACACACACAAAGTAAAAGCAAACAAGCTTAAGCCTCAGCCATGTACAGTATGTGTGTTTGTGGTGCATGATACACGGCAGCTCCAGCAGACTGCTTGCGTAGCTTTGCTTAGTCTTTGAGAACCATCGTCCTTAAAGAACCCATTTGGTTAGAGTCGATCACAGTGACAGAGCAGCAGCTTCCACACGGGGGAAAAAAGCACTTTGCCGTGTCACACCGCTCGTTCTTTGAGACAGCACGCTTTGAACAAAAAACAATGCTTGTACAGCCAAGACAGACAGGTGAGGTTAGTTTTTACAATGAGAACAGGACGTGACCTTCAGATCTAAAAAAGAAAGAAAAAAATCGCTGTTTGTAGTTTGTAAAGCTAGTGGAAGTTGATCCAAGGTTTTCGATAAAGTGCACTTCAAACCAGTGCAAAGGTTAAAATATATCTCTCTGTCTGTACATAACTACATATGCAGCAGACGCATAACTACAGCTGGAAATGAGACGTGTGTGACAGTTCTGTAATATCAGAATATGTAAACACTGTCTGATGAACAGCACGGCGGTGAGGAAACAATCCTCGCCAGGATGCTAGAAAACAACACTTTGCGTCTGACAGCCAAGGATGAGGGAAAAGCTGATGAGATCACAAGACGGCATGTTACATGTTCAAGAGAACATTCGACTGCTTGCACAGCGGTTCCCTGCTATCATCATGCATCACATTGCGTAGACAGTGTGCGGGGGAGAATCTTGGCAGTGTGTCAGTATTACACAGAATCATCCAGGATAACAAAAGCAATGACACCCTGATTTACACCAATTTAAAAAAAAAAGCAATGCATTTAAAAGGGTTTTAATCTACAGCTTTACATGGCTAATTAGAAAATAGATCCTCATTAGACCACAATAGTCTGTTGTATCGTACAGTCATGAATGGCAAATCTTTGTCACATGCATGCACATCAAATCTGCCGTCGATTATATGAGCAAGCCTGTTTACCGCCTGCCATTCGAGATTCAAGATGCATTATCATAATAACTGATTAACTAGAGGCTACAACTACTAGTAGTTGTATATAATTTTATATTTTATAGCAGTAATTCCATAAAATTGCTTCAGCATTGTTCGATTGTTAAATATTCATCACGTCAAAGGAAAAATTGTTTGCTAAACCTCTCCCCCGGTTAGCTATCGCTCCATCGTAGCAACTCGTTTAGGCACAAGAAGCCTGTCAAGCTATGGATTTCTGCATGTTTAAGTGCGTGGGCATTTATACAGCTTTTCTAGCTTTGTTGATAAATCAAAGTGCTTTTGACTCCAAGCGACACTTAAACATACATTCATAGAGTGCTTCACTCAATGCAGTTTAAATATTTTATCTATACATCACATGCAGGCCAATTTAGACTTTAGACTGTGGAGGAAGAGTACCCCGAGGAAAACCTGCTCATTCACAGGGAGAACACGAAAGCTCAACACAGAAAATTCCCAGCTGGGGTTCAAACCAGTGAAGCAACAGAACTAAACGCTGCCCGTGGCTTGTTCCAAAACCAAAAGTAGGCACAAAAGTATGGGAGGGTATGATAATGTTGGGTGCTACCATCAGCTGCAGCTGTATGCATTTACATCTTACATCATTGTAACCTATCCACTTCCACATCCAAAGATGTCAGTGCCAAAGCAGATGAATAATTTGTGTTATAGGTTGTGAAATATAAGAAGTTGTAGACTGACTTTAGATAAATGTGACGTTACCTTTTGGAAGAAAATGTGCTGTACTGTGCTGAGGGCTGAACACTTTGGTGTTTTTAAACCGGATGTGAGAGGGGAAACTGACGGAGAACCAGAATGCACTGCATACACATGCAGCAGCCACTTGTCAACCACACAGCAGCCCTGGCCTAAGGGCTTTTACCCTTTTACTGTTTTTTTTAACCTACTAAGGACCAGAATTTACCAAACATGCACTGTGCTAGCCACTGACACCATAAAAGAGATCAGAAGAGCCAAGGGCAATTTTTCCATTGACTATAGAAGTTCTTTTTGATACAAGAAGAGTCGCCCCCTTCTGGTCATTAGAAGAAATGCGTGTTTAAAGCCACATACAGTATCTTTTATTTGGAGCTGGTTTCTTTTTATTTTATTTTATTTTTTCTGCATTATTTGACAAATACTATGGCTGTGCAGTTATTTATTTCAAACACACCATCTAAGAAGTCCAAAACATCATGAATCTACATATACACGTCTCGTTCCAAAAATGCCAAATTCACATTCACTTTTTATATAATGCCATGCACACATTGCCTAAAATTTGTCTGCCATATTGGACATGATACAACAACCTGTTGCTAAGGAAACATATGTATGCCTTGACTGGTTGGCAGCAAATGTTTCCTGTAGTTCTTCAGATTTGTCAGCAAACACTTTTATCGGCACTATTAGCCAAGCAGATATAAAACAAAGCAGAAAGGGAGAAAGCTCACCTTCAAAGTAATGGTCAGACTGTCGCTAAGCTTTTGTGTCTAGTCTTCAACTGATCTTGTCACCATTTTTGGCACATGTCTAAAATGGGTGATGAATGGTTGGTGGTCAAATGTCTATAGAATCAGTATAAAAACGTCTAATCACAACTTGTACTACTTTTTCCTTTGTTTAACACATTTTGGGATGTTGGCTTCCCCAATCAACATACCCCAAGACGTGTAGAAATCATGCAAATAAAGCTATGTTATGTCTAAATTCAGCTTAAAAAAGGAAAAATTGTAGGCAACAAAGTCAAACAGAGGTATGACAGTCAAGTAGCTGAGATTAGCTTGATTGGTTAGCTAGCTAACGCTGAAAAACCCAGGAGCAGTGACAGGTCTGCTTTTGTCTACTTAGGTCTGACATCACATTTTAGTAATGTAAACATTACTGCAGGTTGGAGGGGTATCATTCTAAATTGCATAAGGGCCTTGAGAGGCTGAAAAGCTCGACAGGTGGCACGATGGTAACTAAGGGGAGGTGGGGCTTAGCAAATGGTCCGATCCTGAATCTTGTTAATCTGTTACTAAGTCAGTACAAAAACACAATTACAAAGTAAATGCTATCACAGCAGGTAGGATCATTTCTTATCAAATATACTTTGCTGCACACTTCTATGCAAACGTTTGTTGTAGCCTAACACTTAGCTAGTCATGGACAGCAAGATTTTTTGAGATGTACAGATAAACATACAGACAACACACTTTTTACTTTTCATTTGACACATTTGATGATAATTACACACAGAGACTTAGATGTAGACGGACTACTTACACTGTAAATAATATAAGCAGGTAAAAAATAAATAATTTTAAACAATATAGTCATTTCTGTATAAATGAACATCTATGTTTCGTACAACAAAATACTTCATGTACAATCAAGGACATAAATGCTATGCATCTATTGCCTTGTAAGGATAGTGTAAGACTATCATTAGTGTAACCCTTAAAGAAGAATTCAATCAACCAGCGATAGCAAAAGCTCTAAACCAACTATAAAGGGAAAGTAAGTAAATGCTTTAAACCACAATTAGCATCTGTTAGTGTTCTGGCTGAGAGGTTATTCATAAGGCCGACAAAACATCTACAATCAATCCTGTCATCGATGTCAGATGTTTTGCTTTGACTGGCTACACATCAAACTCAGACTTCTGAGTTAGCGGTTTAAACAGTCACAATATACCAATCCTTTATTAACAGCTGCTAACCATCCTAACAAATGGGATATACAAATCTGGCCTCTTGGATACCAGGAAATATATACATTACATCTATTGTACAGGGTAAAATGACCTCATCCCCTTCCTTTAGACTCAGATTGGTCCAGTAAGCCTGCAGTAGGAGCACCTTTACTTGAAGTAGTTGAGTCCTGCCACTAAGAAGAACTTCTCCAGGAATAATTCAGAGTCCAAGACGGCGATGTGGGCGGCGCGGCCGATCAGCGTGTTGGCTGTGTTGGGTAGAGCGTGGAACACATTCTGGCGGATCAGACGGCACTCTTTAGCTTCTACGAGTGGCTGCAGGAGGTTGTTGATCATCTCGGTGTACACGGGCCCTTCAGTGCGAGGGGAAAAAAAAGGAAAGTAATGGCGAGTCCTCCTACGTGCATGATGTCTTATTCATATTCAAGTGTTAAAACTTAGGGCCACAGTTAGATTCATTAGTGATTCATCAGCTGTTTTTGTTTGGTCAACAAATGCCAGATATTCTATGGAGAAACTTACTTTTTCATGTTGATAGAGTGGATATAAAATTAGGAATGCTTCTAAATATAACGCAGTGCAGAACATCACCACCATCTAAACGACCTTAATAAGAAACATGAAACATACGCCCCATAATAACAATAATTCTTGTCAATTTTTTTGATTTGCATACTTACTGCAACATACTTCCGTTCCACTTTTTTGAAATCTGTGCAAAGTTTTGCCATTACAGAGTGTTTACCCTTACTGGGATTTTTGCATGTACAGGTGCTGGTGAGCCAGACTGTTTTTTGCCCCAGTGCAATGACTTCCTAGAGTCTTGGCTGGTTGCCATACAACACCCTAGAGCCTAATCTCCTGTAAAACTGAAAATGTCATGCCAACCCCACTAACCATGTCATGTGTGGAACATGGGTGACAGGATCAGTTCAGAGTGTCTGCACAGATATGTATGACTTAAGTTTTCCATATGGGTAGAAATTTAGAAGAAGTTGCTAAATCTGAGCTGTTAAAGTCCAGAGGTTTATAAATGAAAGCAAATGAATTTGTTAAAGACGTCATCAGGTGATGCATTCATATTTAGCCACATGCTAAACGGTTTTTATACAAACTAGTAGATGTTTTAAGAGCTTGACGGCTTGATGTTTTAAGGACATTTCACTTCCCATTCAAGGTTTCTTGATATCTAAAAACAAAAGGTGCAGAGTCCCAGGTATTTACCTCCCAGTCGGGGTTAGACAGAGCTCGTGGCTTACAACACCAGCTATCAGCTACCTACCATGCAGTCTTGAGATCTCTTTCCAGGCATTTTACCCCTATTCACACTTTGCCTCTAGTTACCTTAAGGTCTCGCAGCGATTTAACCCTTAACTCCTGGTGACGTTAACAACTTGCGCCTGTTTTCACACCTTAGCTCATGTGATGACACGCATGATCAATAGTGGATCAACGACCCTCAAGACCACCTTGAACTCTCCACCTTTTGGTTTTTAAATCTGAAGAAGTCTCTTGCGCTACGTCCACGGATATTTTTGAAAATGGAGATTTTCCGTTTTCGTTTTGAAAAAACAAAACAAAACTCTGTCCACATGTAAACGCTAAAAACGAAATGTTCAATCAGAAGTCTAGAAGCCTGGTGTCAGCGTTTTCAAAACTACCCATGTACGTGTGGACATAGCCTTGGATGAACGGTCCAGTTCCTTTCTTTTTTTCAGCTCTTGAGTCTACCCTGACCTGGATGACTAAGAAACATATAAAACTAGAAGATGGTACATCAGTGAATGGTATCTGGCCTACACTGGAACAGTTACAGGTCTTCTGCTAACCCCCTATAATCACTGATAACCCCAACCCTAAATGTATGGTATAAGATTTTTTTTTCATTATTCCATAAAGTCTTGGCAATCCATGGACAAAGAGAGGAATAATTCTCACTGACACATATAAAAATCTGTTGAGGCTATTTTCCAAAGAGGTACTTTTTTGCTTCTCTCCAAATAATAAGGTCAGTGTTGAGAGCAAAGGCTGGAATCATCACTGATGAAGCCCTTAAAAGGTTTTGCATGTGAGTGTTCTAGACCCAGATATACGTAAAACAAAAGTAAACCATTCCTATATCTTATTTTAACTCAACAGGGATGGCATGAAATGAGAAAATGTGTGACTAATTAACCTTCTGACGTTTAAGTCATCGATGACACCACCAACTCTAACTCCAACTCAAACTCTGACCCGAGGCGATCAGAATATGTAGTTGCTGTTTTTATGACACTGTTCTGACAAGTCTTCCCTATTAACCTGCTGTCACGATCCTGGGTCTTATGACCCAGTGTTTTGAGTTTTGATGTTTATATGATTAAGCTCATTCGTTTTCTAGTTCTGTGTTATTAGAGTTCCCTTGTGTCTTCCAACCCCTGTTAAGTCTCCCTTGCCCTTCATGTGTTTCAAGTCTGTGTCTTACGTTGTCAAGTTCTGGTTGTCATGTCTGCGTCTCATGTTTCCTGTTTTATTTTGAAGAGATCTTGTGTTCCTGTGTTCATCGTGTTTAGTTTTACTCTTCCACTGTGACTTCGTTATGTTCATGTGTGTCAGCTGTCCCCCATGTGTTCCCACTTCTCTCATTAGCCTCCTGTGTGTTTAGTCTGTGCGTTCTCATTCAGTCTTTGTCGGATCGTCTGTGTTGTTCCCATGTGTTCAGGTTTTCACGCCTATATCCTCATCGTTGCCATGTTTAGAGTTTGTGTTTCTGTTTGCCAGGGTTTTCATAGTTCGTGTTTCCTTTCTAGGTTACCCAGTTTAGGTTATTGCTTTGTTTGCATTGTTTTTGCCCTTTTATTTTGTATTTTTCTGTCTGCCTTAATAAACAGCTCATCATCAGTTAAGTTTCTCTCCTCTAACACCTGCAGTGTTAGAGGAGAGAAGGGGACACAGTCTTACCTGCTGTTATGTGAGGCACGCTCCTTTCGTGAATAATGTAAAATGTCATTCTAGGAATAAACAAGTGTGCTAAAATAATGTGGACGACGAGGCCCCCAGGTGCCCAGATATCCAGATAGAAACTATAGAAATACAAATATGAGCTAAAGTAATGACAGCTGCATTGTTCACCTGTGGTTCTATCTTTGAGAGCAGTTTTGCACATCTCTATTCTGGCAGAGTGAAAAGGAACGTAGCGGTCCTGCGGAGACGCCACCAGCACAACGTTCTTGAAGAACTGGAGCCCTACAAGGACATGAAAGACGCAAGTAAAGGAGACAGCACAGAGTAGAGAGAAGGAGGGCAAGACAGGGTAAAGGATTGAATTGGTTGTAAAATGCAAAGTACAATCACAAAGCACAATGACAGGCCTTGATACGATAAAACTGTGTTTTTTTTCTGTCTCTCTCTCTAGTCTCCTCTCTGTGTGCTTTTAAGAGAGTGCACTGGTGGGTTTCCAATGACAGGGTTTGGATCACTTTGTCAGCCTGCCACAGCTGTAGAGAGGGGGGAAAAAAAGCGTTTTCAGGCTTATCTTCTTCAAGCCTGTGTGACAAACGACTGCTTTGTTCCACTCACACAGTGGGGAGGCCTCTCACAGGCCTCTTGCAGCTCGCTGGCAGGGGTTTGAGTGTTAGCGAGCTGACACGTACAGAAATTTGACAAAAAAAAGACAAGATGACAACATTTTCATGAATATTTGAACAGCCTGCCTTTCAAGCAACAGTCTGTAAAGTGGGGCCGTCAACACGCAGCCTCTGTTTCGGATCTCAGCCGCTTTCAAGCCGTACCTGGTTTCTGACTCAGGAGATAGAGGAACGTTTTCCGTGGATCAACGTGATCTCTGAAGGTGAGCTGCAGCAAAGATCCGGATTTTTTCAGCTTCTGCATTAACCACAAACCTAAGCAAAACACACACACAACAAATCAGGACTCAACATGCATCACAGTAGCTGAGCAGTATGGATGATATTCTTAGACAAAAGACAATATGCTGCTGAGAGGCGCGAAACACGCAGCGCTGTGCCTTCTTCCAGGAGACGAGCCGTGGCCTCACCTGTGCTGACCAGTGTGCTGTTGTTGTACAGCGTTCCCAAGTGTGGCCCTGACAGCGAGAGGAAAGTGTGCAGTTTGGGCAAATAGCAGCGGAAGCGAGGCCTCGTCAGCACCGAGCGGATGATGATGTTCCCCAGAGAGTGGCCGATGAAGCTGTTGGCCGAAGACAAACAACTTTCAGAGAGAGGAACTTGCAGCATGAGTGGGCGGCTGGGAAAAAAAAAAAAATGCCTCCAACGCTGCTGACCTACGACACTGCCCGATAGCTTTGGTAGATTCCTCTGGAAGCAGGAACGGGTTGCAGCGGAAGCTATTTGGAGATTCCTGCTGCAGCATGCGGTGATTACAGAAAATTCATTAACTTGCTAAATGTTTAAACATCCTCAAAGGCAATGACAACTTATTGATGCGAACATAGAGGACAAACCGCACGAATTAATAGCAGCTTCCCAGCAGTGGGAAATATTAGATTCATCAAGCTATGTCTGTCACTTAGTTTAATTACTGTACTGTTGCGGCTTTACCCACAATCCCTCATCTCCATGCCTGCTCCTTCTCATCTGTCTGCTCCCAAACTAAATATAGAGGTAATGTGGAAAGAGCCAGATGCTGTTGCGGCACTCCATTGCCTTTTGTCTTTGATACTCGCTCCCCAGAGAATACGCGACAATAAAAAGAGAGTTAAGAAACTTGGGCAGAAACTCTCACAAAGAAATAAATTGTCACATTGAGGGCAATTAAGCGGGAAGATGAATAGCTTAATTTGATTGGAACTAGGCAGCACAGTGCTGCATAAAGCAGCGCAGTCCATCATGTGAAAGTCACAAGCTTATTGGCACGGTATGATAAGAGCTTTTCATCTGTTTTGTGTCACTTATCCACTTTGAGTCTATACATTATCACGGAGCTGTCATTCTCTGAAGTTAAGACTTCCACAGAAGAATCGGGGCAAAGTCTCTGCTGCCATCTGCTGACTGGACTGAATACTGCTCAGGCTGGTCCTTTACTGGTTTCTCTTAACCTCAAATGACTTCCCACATGAGAATCTTCTAGCAGAGGAACTGTAAGACCAAAATGAAACTACAAAGTCAACTTGAAGGGTGATATATTCTAATTTCTGGAAGCAGGCTTGTTTGAAAAGTCACTTGAATGTATTTGCACGCTATCTCTGCCCTTAGGGGGTTCACCAGCAAGCTAGTGGATATTAAGAGGTTTAATATCCAATCAAAATGAAATGTGTCAATAATGGGCAAGCTGCAGCGTGTTAAACCTGGCCGACTGACCTGATCCTGCCTATGGTGAGATTGTAGAGCTGGATGTGCTGAATGATTTCATCCAGCAGCCTGTCCGTCATGGCGTCGAAGTCTGCAAACGTGTCGGCCTGCGGGAGAAAAGCAAGGCTGTCAGCGCTCTGCAAATTGCCTCGAAGCACACTTTCACAGTTTTGCTCCCGTCACTGTCAAATGTACCTGGTTCCTTTCAGACATGAGGAAGTCGAGCCTGGATCCTGGCAGTCCCAGCTCTATGAAAGTTTTCACAAGCCGAAGGTCAGCACTGTTTCCTGGAAGCAGGTGACGAAACACACACAAAGTTTGTAGCTCTGCTTTTATTAAGCATGTTCGATAAACATTTAAAAGTTAACCTGAAATGAGTTTCAGGGAATTAGTATTCACAGACTGCACAGTGCAGTGTAATAAAGTTGTAGGACTTTTATTACATTTACAATGCTAATAGGGAATCATATGAAAGGCTGTACAGAAAGTTATGGATGTGTCAGTCAATGCAGACGTGGAACTGGATCGCAGCGAAGCAGAACATTTTTTAAATGTGCAGCCTCACCATCAAGCCCATGGACGCACACCACCAGGTGTATGCCGTCATCAAACTCCTCATCATCCTCTTCAGGAGGGAAGTAGGGGAGATCTGATGCCAGGAACGGGAGGTCGCTGTACAAGCTGGCCTGGAAGCTCAACTCTTTGAACAGCTCCTCTTTGGCTTTGTAGAAACTGGAGAAAAAAAGTGATATTATATTACTAAACTTATACTGAACAATTTTAAGCTAATGAGATATGAGCTGATTTAAGCCTTTAACCCTTTGCTGTCTCAGCCATCATACGTTCTAATTGTAAGCTAGTCTTAAAAGGGCAAAATGTGACTACTTTTTCATGTGTGACAGAATGATTCATTTTTATGATTCTTGACTGTAAACACTGGAGAGAATAATTTAATAATATATTTTTTAAATTATATACTCTAATTGCCTAGCTTTAGACTTAGGCCTGAGCTTAGGGTTGGCATGTAGACCTTAGAGCAGGGGTGGCAAATTAATTTCCCCAAGGGGCCACATGAGATGTGGAGGGTTGCGCCAGTAGTCTTATAAAAAGATCAAATTGATATTAAGCATAACTGAGTCCAGCCTACTGGTACAGTCCTCCACAACAGTCCCAGTATCTCACTTGCAGCCCGTTGGGAAAACCTAATTGTCTACCCCTGCCTTAGAGAGACAAGTTGATGAATGTTTCATTTTCCAAAAAGTGAATTACTCCTACAGCTTTCGCCGTGTAGCCCAAATTTAATAGACAACCTACATTCAATTTTCAGAATTTACATTGCTCATGCTGCCCACTTCTTGAGCCCGTGTTGCTTAACAGAAGTCTCAGACTAACCAGTAAGCTGCTCAAAAGTTTTATTACGCTGTCATTTTGCCAGGTTTCAGATTACAGTCATGCAGAAGTCAAAGCCAATCCGATTCAAGTTAGTGTACTTCCAGCTTATCATGATGGATTTGTCTGTGTACTCTTTGATGTGACTTAATACATTCAGGAGGCATTTCACCTTGGCTTCCTTGCTTCAAATTTGCCCTCGTTTCATTTTGTTATGCTAGACTTTCCAAGCATGAGTAACTGCCAGCTACTGCACCAGATGTCAGGAGTCGTCTCCCAAAACCCATGAAAACACCTCATGTTTTGGCCTTCAGTGATTCCTGAGATTAGGGACAAAACAGGTTTTAATTTTCTAAAATATATTTTTTGATTTTTCAAAAACACATTTACATATAATTGTTACACAAAGTTTTGGCTGTCTCACCATGTTTTGGTACAATCTCTCAGGTGTAACATTTTTTAATAATTTATCTTTTTGCTGGAGAAGTGCGAGGTTTTCGTCAACACCGTCGGACACAAAGAAATGCAAACATATACATTTTAAATGAAGTTGTTTCAGCTATTTTGACTAATACTTTTCTTACTCAGTTGTATATAGCATTTGTATTCTATTTTATTCTATTGTGTATATAGTATTTTATTTTATTCTATTGCATTCCAGTGTTTTCTAATTTCTGCTACATAACTTTGCAATTTTGCTGTAACAAAACAAATTTCCCACCTGTGGGACTAATAAAGGTCATCTTATCTTATCTTATTAGCAGCTTCTCTATTCTATTGTTTATGCACATATGTTTTCAAAGTAATTATACCACATTTAAAAGTAAGATTGTTTTGGCTTTTTATTATTCGAGTTACAGTCATACATATTTTCAGGAGCTTGTATTTAATCTATATAAGAAACAGTCATATTAAGCAGCATGCAAATTACATATTTATTGAGAAAATTACGTATTTTTATTGGAAGATCATGAGGGAGGAAAATATATGGTTCTCCAAAAGAGAAAAATAAACAAGAACTCCATATTATGGAGTTGACAAGGTGCTG